AAACATTCACCCTCACCCTGCATGTCCTGTCTATCCATGTTTCTGCCTTCTGCCCGCCCGCCCTGTGTCTCCCTGCCTGGGACCAGCGATTGCTCAGGGACCAGCAGCCGTCTCTGCCTGGGGCCCACTGCCTGCTGCCACATGACCCGCCACCACCATTTGGGACCTACAACATTTCTGCTGCCTACTGCCGCGGGGATCTTGCAGCATTTTTTTAAAAAACAACAATAATCACATCTGCATACAGACAGCAGCTACCCACAATCCCTAGTCCTGGCCTCACATGTACACAGGATAGCTACCTATACCCAACATCCCACTTCCTGCGACATGTAATACTTTGTCCTTCTAAACAGTCACTGAATGATGGAAAGGAAATTGCAGTCATTGAAAAACCATACAAGCTGAGTATGATTGACAGACACCTTTAATCCCAGATCTGTGAGTCCAAGGCCAGCCGAGTCCACATAAAGAAAAGAGAGAGTTCCAGGCTGGCCAGAGATACAGAGTGAGACCTCATCTTTAAAGGAGCCATGAAACCTGGTATTTGGAGTTATCTAAATCTGTCCCCAGGACATAGTCCCTTGTACTTGAGTCCAGTGTTGTGGCGTGCCGATCCGCGGGTAGAGACTGAAGACAGACTCCATTTAGATTAAATGAGTTTGTTCTTCCTGCTAATTGGCCTTAGAGCCAAACAGCATGCCGTGCGGTAGAGAGCTAAGTGGGGTGGGGGACTTATAAAGGGGACACCAAAAGTGTCCATTACATCGTCTACGGACTCCGCAGCTGGACGAGAAATCGCTTTACTCCCCTCAGCTGTTTCTCTTTCCCATTGTGTAGTCACAGGAAGACCGCCCCATTCCAGTCCCACAGCTAAGATAAGTGTTTATAAAAGCAGAGAGCGGGAACATCACTATCCTATAATTATCCCACCTGCAGGCCACTGGGGTCTCACGGGCATTCCAGGGTAACTGTCAGCAGCCCTTAAGGGGTGCGTGGGACCATATTAAGTTTCTTTAGCCAACACTAAAGTGCCGCACCAGCACAGCCCTGAAGTCCAAGAATTGGCAGAGGGTGTCCAGGTTGAATGAATGCACAGAGCAGGAGGTTGAGGTGGAGCAGCTTCTTTTATTGTCCTGCTGGGGCTGGCTTTAATACCATGGCACCAAATGAGGAGGGGGCTGCATAGGGACTGTAACCTGACCCCAGCAGGGATCAAGGAATGATCACCAAGTGCTCAAAATTCCTTCCCCCGCTCCAGGAGCAGAGGGAATTTATTATGTTTTCTTTGCAGATAAGCACCTCAAATGGGGGCAGGGATATCGTAACTCGGGGCTGCAGTTCCCACGCTAAAGATAACTCCCCTAAACATTAGGGGAGTGATGTATAAATTATGACATAGATTTGATCAACCTGGAGGAAGTGTGCCAGTTGACTGGGATAGAGCAGTGCTATCAGGTTAGGGCTGGCTGTCATGTCTCCACACCAGAATAAATTATCCCTTTGAAGTGAAATTGTGTGTGTGTGTGTGTGTGTGTGTGTGAATGTATATGCTCATGCGTGCACTAATTCTGGGGTGTGCACACAAAGACCAAAAGAGGACATCACAGTATCCCTTGAAGCTAGAGACCTGGATATTTACAGAGCTCGCTGCCTGTTATATGGGTGCTGGGATCCCAACTCTGTTCCTCATGATTTCACAGTGAGTGGTAAGCCATGTCTGCAACAGCTAACCCCTATACAGCTGTTCACAAATGCCCCCTCCAAAACCCTGATCCCAAATCTGAGCTACAAGCACACCAGCTCACACACCTCAAGCACGTGACACTAGCTGAAGCTGTTGCTCAGGCATAGCCTAATGCAGTTAAAACAGAGTAAGTCCAACCACTCCTAGAAATGTGTTCAAAATCTGTATTTCCATCCACTCTGCTGCTTCCCAGGGGAGCACGAAGCAGGCAACACTGCTACCTTTCCAGAAGCCCTGTTTCGTATCCAAGAAGACAAGGAGGCTTGCCCGGGGTGCTTAACTCCCTTCTGGGCAGAGAGGCACAGTGATCCTGGCCACCTGGCTTCTCTGCTGTCTGCACAGAGTTACTAAGTTCCCGAAAGGGTTTGTCAGGACCGAGTTGATGCCATGTTTATCTCTACGCCGTGCTAGTTGCCACCTGTAAACTCCTAAATATCAACCTGTGTTTCACAATTCCAGAACCTTTTGCTCTCTTTACCCAAAGGAGATATACAGCGATGGAAACCGTGAAGCTTAAGGCACCTGTGACCACACGTTGCCAGTCACTGTGTTCAAGGACATCAGGCTAAGGAGTGCTGGAAAACAGCAATGTACGTGTGTACGAGTACACCGTCGTCCATACAGGCCTCGTACAGAGGTCAAGAGTTTCCTTCCAGATCTAGTCCAGACTGGCTTCTGAGCCGGGAGCTACAACGTTCCTCCCTAAATAAACAGCCAAACTGGCCAGCTGGACCCGGAGGGCTCAATGACCTCTCCAGAGCCTGCAGCTGCCACGAATGTAAACTAATAACCCGATGGGTCCGGGGCCAAAGCACACTCTTTTGCAAGGGTACCAGTCTTTGACACTGTTCTGTGCGCACAGGGACCCTTCTAAATCAAGGTAGTAAGTTCATGTGGTTTGAAGCACCCTTGTTAAGAGCTGGGCATTTGTCCTAGTGGGCCACCACCTCTCCACAGTTCAGATACAAAGTGCAGGAACATTACAGGAAGGGAGCAGGTGCCAAGGGTCCAAGGCATCTTTTCCCTTTGCGGTTACCCCACAGTGCGTCTCTCCTCGGTCAGTTTTCAGAGACTCTGTTGTGCTCTATGAGAGTCTTCTAGCCTGGGTCAGGGGTGTGGAGGGAAGGTCCAAGATGGAGCACCTCTGTCTTAGAGATGAGAGTTCCCTCTGCGGCTGCCCTGATTCCTCCAAGGAAGCCCGACAGCTCTTCAAGGCCAGATTCGCAAGTAGGTGCCAGTGGAGCAAACGGAGAAAAGGGGGAACACTCGCTCCTGGAAGTTGACTCGGAAGGTGTAGAGGTGGCGCATGTCCTCCACTGCATAGAAGGACACCGCCCCCACTTCCAGGTCCAGAGCCACCCTCACCCGCGACAGATGTCCACAGTTGAGGGGCGTCCTCTCCGGGCTGGTCACAGCCCAGTATTGCCCATTGTTGAGTTGCATTGCCCAGACGCCCTCCTCAGGGGTAAAGGGCGTGAGGCCCTTGCGACGCACGCTCTCGCGGGCCACACCAAAGGCCCAGCCATCCTTGGAGCCCACTTCCACCTCCCAGTGATGTCGCCCTGAGGAGAAACCACAGGACGCCAAAACGCGGGTGTTGGTATCAAAGCGGCGGGGATGATTGGGCAAGTCCTGGGCACGCTGTCCTAGGCGCACGCTCTTTAGATCCAGGGACAAGATGAGGCGGGCGTTGGCTGTGTCAGGGTCCAAAGTGAGTTCCACTGAGGATAGAGAAAGGGAAAGATGTCTCCAACTGCGTGACTTTCACAGCCCGACACACTCAGAGCACATTACCTTCTTATCACCTGGTCTTCCCTCCTCCCTCCACATTAGCTATTTAACTTTCCTCTTTCTTCTTTATCTCTTTCCTCAATTTAACAAACACGTATTAAAATTTTTAACAAACTCATAAAATCTAAGAAATACGGTGGGCCTGATTTGGATCTCAATTTGAGTGGGTCAACAAATCTGATGTCAAAGATAATTGTGGAGCTAGGGTGGTAGAGAAAGCCTGAGCTCAGGAGGTAGAGGCAGAAGAATCAGGAGTTCAAGGTCAGCCCGCGGGAGTGGCAGAGCCTTGTCTCAAAACAAAGACAACGGCAGAAATTTGAAAATTAGACACAATAAAGAATGATCACGTTCTCTAGGTGTGATAATTCTGTTTTTGTAGGAGAGCCAGGGCTATATAATGTGATCCCATCTTTAAAAAAAACTGTCTTTAGAGGTAATGTATTCAGAGATATTTGTGGAAATACCATCCTTGTTCTATTGTAAAATTGAACATATAGCCAGGGTGAAGAAAATGTCCACCAATTGGCAACTGAAGATAGATAGGCTCACATATTTGAATGCTTAGTCACCAGAACCTAGAACTGTTTAGGAAGGATTAGCAGGTGTGGCCTCATTGGAGAAAGTATGTCACTAAGGTTAGGCTTTGAGGTTTCAAAACCTCACGCCAGGCCCAGAGTCTTTTTCTCTCTCTTTCTGCCTGCTACCTACGATCAGGATGCAAAGCTCTCAGCTACTGCTACAGCACTGTGCCTGTCCATTTTCAGCCATGATGATCATAAACTAACCCTCTATAAAGGCAAGTCCCAATTAAATGTTTTCCTTTATAGGAGTTACATTGGCCCTAGTGTCTCTTCGCAGCAATAAAACTGTGACCAGGACACTCTGGAATACCAGAGAGATCAAGGCAGGTGAACAACCTTGCCCGTTTGTTGCTTCCTTCCGGGCTGTGTGAGAAAGGCAGTGTGTGATCCGCAGAAGGTAAGAGATCTAACTTGAGAGCAAATGGTAATTTCATCGACAGTAGCCAGGCATGCCTCCCTGGAAGGGTACATTAGAGCAAAGATCTGAAGGGGGTAAGGAAATCAGCCATATGACAGGAGAGCTTGACTCTGACTGAGGGATGGCCATTGCAGAACAAAGGTCCTGAAGTTCCTGTGCGGTTGGTGCACTCCAGAAGAAGCAAGGAGTGTGTGTGGTTGCACAGTAAGCCAAGACCCTGATGTGCAATGAAGTTAGATACTTGAAGGCCCCTGAGGCTGAGGGTATAGAGGGAAAGGGGCCATTACAGGATCCTACCCAGGTACTCTGCACATGCGCCCCTCCCTTCAGTGTTGGATCACCACCCCCTCCCAGATCTCTGCAGTCTCTTTGTTTCCACTGCCCCCCAGTTCCACTGTCCCCCCCAGTCCCACTGTCCTCCCCCCCCAGTCCCACACACGATTGAAAAGACTTCTCCATCCCAAGCAATCTGAGGCCAAACCATTCCTCACCCTGACCACTCATGGCTTATGGACCAATGGGCCCCATTGGCACCTGAGGGTTCAAAGAGGTCAAACAAGGATTAGGATGGGGGCAGAGTGATAGTCACTGCCGTGGGTAGGCAGACAGGGGTGACCACTTGCAAAGCCCAGAGAGACAGCCTCTGGCAGGGAGCAGGTTCCCCATCCGGCCAGCCTTATACTCACAGTCGCAAGGGTCCTTCTTACCTTTCTCCTCTTTCTCCAGCTCTCCCTGGAGATCCTCTACAGAGAAACAAAGCAGAGCGAATGGGCACAGCATGGGAGTCTGCCTGGCCAGGAAACCTCCTCTCCCACACAGTGAGTGCCCACCTGACTTCAGACACTCAAGACACCAAGAGTTGGATGTATAGAACAAAGATGGGAACAGAGGGGGGAGGGACCCCCCCAAGGAAGGACCCCCCCCCCAAGTGTCCTAGCTCCACCACTTCCCCTTCTCCCTCTATTGTCTAGAACCGGTCTGACCTGGCATCTTCCCCTTTAGCCTTCTTCCTGCCCCATTACCCTTCTAATCTGTCCCCATGGTGAGCAGGAGGCCTTGGGGTGAAACACAGACGGCTTTGTCATCGGTGCCTTCCCACAATCTGGCTTTGATGTGCCCCACCTCCTGTCTCCTTCTTCACAGTTCAAGAAAGACATGCCTGTAGGTCCCACGTTCCTGCCAGGAGCACAGCCCCTCCACCCAACACTGCATGGCCCGGCCCACACCCTGGCCCCATACCTTTGAACTTCTTCAGCAATCCTTTCAAGACGAAACTCTTGAGGGAGACATTCCACACTTTATTTTTCATCTCAGATGAGACTGTGGTTGGCTTGGACCCAGGCAGGCTGCTGCACCTGCAGGACAAGGCCCCTGAGGAAGTCCCAAGAACACCAGCCCACACCACTGCCCTCTGGCAATTAGGCTGGAACTATAGTTTAGATACATGTAATCCTCGAGGCTTGATTACCAACTTGTGCACTCTTGGGAGATAACACAACCTTTATAAAGGAGGTGGGACTGGGGGAAGGAGTTTACAGCCTGGAGAATTGCCTTTGAAGAGAAGAGCTTCAAACTGACTGTCTTATTCTCTCCTTTCTTCCCTACCTCCCTCTCATACTCCCCATCCCTTCTCTCCATCTTCCCAGCTGCTTCCTGTACAAGGAGAAGGGAAAGCCAACCTCATGCAGGAATTCCCACAGCCAGGTAGGTGGGCCTTTGCCTCAAAAGGTACCCAGGTAAGGAAGGAGGTAGGGGTTGGGGGTCAGGGGGTGGGAGATAATGTTGGGATGAGAAGAGAAAGCTTGGTGGGAGGGCAAAGGAGCTTGGGAAGACCTAGGGATGGTTAGGTTCACTCACTTGCTTAGTGTGGTTTTGAATTCCTGGAAGGAAAAAGGGAAGGAAACCAAATCAGTGACCATATAACCCTCATTCCCCCTTTGAGAAAACATGACTTACCCCCTACCTAACTCCCAGAAAATAAGCCATGCCCCCTGAACACAGGCAGCAGGGCTTTCCAGCTCTGGTGGCTACCGTGTTAAGTCAGTTCAGAGTACCCTTCAGCCTTGGCCACTGATAGGCAAAGTCTTCCTTGTGAAATCCTCCCTGGGCTACCAGACAAGAGCCAGTGTTTACCACTACCATGGTTACCACCCGCTACAAGCCACGGTATCTTCTTTCTTTTGTGTGTGTCATCATCCCCCCACTCCCCAGACAGGGTTTCACTGTCTGGCCCTGGCTGTTTGGGAACTCACTATGTAGACCAGGCTGGCCTCAAACTCACAGCGATCTGCCTGCCTCTGCCTCCTGAGGGCTGGGGTTAACGGTGTATGCTACTATGCCTGTCCTGGGAACTAATTTTTAATTATTTTTCTTTTCTTTTTCCAAGACAGGGTTTCTCTGTAGCTTTGGAGCCTGTCCTGGAACTAGCTCTTGTAGACCAGGCTGGCCTCAAACTCATAGAGATCCACCTGCCTCTGCCTCCTGAGTGCTGGGATTAAAGGCATGCGCCACCATCACCCGGCTAGTTAATTATTTTTAAAAAATGTTTACGTAGGAGCTGAAGGGATGGCTCAGAGGTTAAGAGCATTGGCTGCTCTTCCAAAGGTCCTGAGTTCAATTCCCAGCAACTACATGGTGGCTCACAACCATCTGTAATGGGGTCTGGTGCCCTCTTCTGGCCTGCAGCTATACACACAGACAGAATATTGTATACAAAATAAATAAATATTTAAAAAAAATGTTTATGTAGCCAGGCAGTGGCAGCGCACGCCTTTAGACCCAGCACTTGGGAGAGAGAGGCAGAAGGATCTCTCTGAGTTCGAAGCTAACCTGGTCTGCAGAGTACCAGGACAGGCTCCAAAACTACACAGAGAAACCCTGTCACGGAAAACAAAAACAGAAAACACATGTTTATGTATGGGTGTTTTGCCTGCCTGTATGACTGTGCACCACCTGTGCCCACCAGCCAGAAGAGGGTGCCAGATCCCCTAAAACTAGAGTTACAGGTGATGAGTCACCATTTGGGGACTGGGAAGTGCTGTTAACTGCTAAGTCATCTATCCAGCTCCAACTTGTTTTTGTTTGTTTTATTTTTGTTTGCTTGCTCTTCGAGAAAGGGTTTCTCTGAACAGTCCTGGCTCTCCTGGAACTCGCTTTGTGGATAAGGCTGGCCTTGAACTCAGGCAAACCTCTGCCTTCCAAATGCTGAGATTAAAAGATTAAAGGCGTGCACTGCCGCTGCCTGGTTAGCCCCAACTCTTTTTTTTTAATAAAAATAGAAGAGCATAGGGTACATTAGAGCAAATTAAAGACAACAAAGACAAGAATTGTGTTCTGAGACTGGACTCAAGTGTGAATATACAGATTAATGTAAAATAAATTGTAAATTATAATGATAACTGTGAATGTTTTATCACATTCCTTTTAACCTTCCAACCAGTGCTCTTTTCTCCAATCCCCTTCCTCCTGGGGTCTGACTGTTCTCCAGCAGCCTCTCCTAAGGCCTAGGGCAAAGGCTTCAGGGCTGTGACTGAGCCAGCCTCACCTGGAGGAAGTCTAGATCCGGTTTCTGAGCTGTCTCCTGGATCTGGCTGCTGAGTTTGGACAGTTGAGTGATCTCACCGTCGAGGTGGGCCAGGTTCTCATTCTGCTTCTGGGTCACTTCCCGGGACAGCACCTCCAGTCGGCCTAGAAGCCGACCCTCCTGTTCCACCAGAAAGGCCCGCAGCGCCTGGAATTCTGCCCCCACCTTCTCTTTCTCTGCTGCCATCTGCTTCTGTCTCTGGAAGAGAAGTTGGCACATGACTTGGGGGGAGGGACCTGCAGAAGCTTTTTGTTGGTTCATTTTGGGTTTGTTTTTTGTTTGTTTTTGCTTTTGTTTATCGAGATGGGGTTTTTCTGTAGCTTTGGAGCCTGTCCTGGAACTAGCTCTTGTTGCCCAGGCTGGCCTTGAACTCACAGAGATCAGCTCGCCTCTACCCTGCCAAGTGCTGGGATTAAAGGTGAGCACCACCACCGCCTGATTTAAGACAGGAGCTTTAAGGAGGCATGCTCCAGGGCAGGGTTGCTTCCCCTGGGGAAACAGGCACACCCACTCCTGCATACTGTGCACACCCTTAATTAAAATAGCCCAACTGTGTGCAATCCACAGCCTGAACACCTGCTCCTCTCCCCCGCCACAGCGTCCTCTGTTATCTCTTAAGGCAGGAGATTTACACCCCTTAGGGCAGCTTCAAACTCCCCACAGCTACCTCAAACTGCAGCTTCCATCATGAGGATTAAATCAAAGGTTGCTTCTTCTTCCTCTGTGTGTTTATTTAATTCCCTTTTACTTTATATGCTAGAGACAGGGTCTCACCATGTAATCCTGGCAGGCCTGGAGCTTTCTACTTGGACCAGGCTGGCCTTGAACTCACAGAGGTCTGCCTGTCACAGCCTTCAGAGGGCTAGGATTAAAGGCGTGCCCTAACACCACCCCCACCTAGCTACCCAACCCCATTTTTTAAAAACATTCTTTTGGCTTCAATTCTGATGGAAATGCAAGGGGAAAATGTAGAACTCTGGAGGTACAGGGGAGAAGAAGCTTAAGTGTGTTAAGCAGAGGTAACAGCACACACACTTGGCACTAAGTACATGCTCCGTTCAGACTTAACATTCTAGTCTTTCCCTTGTCAGATTCAGGATTTTTCATGTTTTTAGATGAACTCCTTGATTTTTTTTTTTTATACAAACACACTTACTTGTGTAGCAAAATTCCAATAGAGTAAACAAGGACCCGCCTGGCTATCAACAAGGAAGTATCAATTAGGATTGGCTCAATTAGGCAAGGTCCTCTCCCAAGCCATTACAGAGGAAAGAAAGGGTGAGCAGAAGAGGAGACTGTGAGAGGGTGCATTCAGGAGCCCTGGGCTCACATCATGGCTCCCGAGGCTTCCCACAGCACACTTGCCTCATTTCCATCGTCAGACACTGAACAGTAGCATCAGCAAGGAGGACTTTAACTCATTCACTTGACCCAGTGAGGTCGGCACCCTTCTTATTCCATTTTAGGATGGGAAGACCCATCTTAGAAACTGTTAAGCCAAGATTCTAAGGCAGCCAGGGTCTGCTCTAAGGTCTGTACTTTTGTTAACTGTATGATATTGACTCCCAAGGGAACAACCCAAGAAAAGGTGTTTATCAAAACAACTCTCCGTGTCTGTGTCAGTGGTGAAATGCCTATATCTGTAGCACTCGGGAGAATGAGTCTCCGCAAGTACAAGGCCAGCCTGGACTACGTAGCGAGTTCCAGGCCAACCTGGACTGCATGAGACACCACCTTTAAAAACTGGAGTGGGGTAAGGTAAGGAGGAAGGGAAGAATCTAAGAACATAAGATTCTTTTCATGTGATGCCCTCTGTCTTGTTATGGTTCCGCAAGAAGGCTCTCACTCAGTGCAGAGGAGCTACCGGCGCCATCCTTCTGATGACTTCCCAGCCTCCAGACCTGTACACTAAATTTTCACAGTTGTTGTTATATAGCCCTGGCTGTCCTGGAATTCTTTATGAAGACCAGGCTGGCCTCAGACTCACAAATAACCTTCTGTTTCTGCACACCCCCCTGCCGAGTGCTGGAATTAAAGGTGTGAGCCATCTTAACCCAGCTACATTCTGTTAGTTGCGGCTGCAGCCTGCCTCTGCCACCAAAGCAGTACTTTGTCACCTGTTGCCAGGTGTCTTTCACCATCAGCTGTGCAACAGGTGCACCCCTTAAAAGTGTCTGCCGGAGCACAGCTCGCTCTCCCGTCTTTCTTGCCTCTTGCCCCTCTCTTTCTTCTTCTTGTCCCCACATGGCCTTTCACTATTATCCTCTCCTCCCCCTCCCCTCCTCTCTACCCTCTCCCTCCGATAATCCTCTTGCACTAACACTGCTGCTCCAAACATGTTTGCTTAGTGGCATACTTTGGCTCGCCGAAAGGTACCCACTTCCCCTTTCTTTTTATTTACCATGATACCGTGCAACACCAGCAGAAAGCAGAGTAACGGACCAAGAAGACTGCAAACAGTGGTGTCCCAGTCTTGCTGTTGTTGACATTGGGGGCCTGATAATTCCTGGCAGTGGGGGCTTCCCTGTGTATTATGGACTATTTAACCCCTAAGAGCCCTGCCGGGTAAGTGCCAATGACACTCCCAGTGCTGACAACCAAAATGCCTGCAGTCATTACTGGATGACCCCTGGGGTAATGGCATTTTTCAGATGAGAGTATGCTCCTCTTCCTACCCCCCACCTTCCAGTCCACATGATATGTACAATTATGAAATTCCCGTTTAGTGGAAGAGCAGAGGCAGGTTCACCCGCTGCTGGTGTACAGTAAGAAGAATGAGGGACACCTGGCTCCCTGGTAGAGCACTTGCTTGGCCATGAAAGGCCCTGGTTTGGATAGGCTGGGTTTGGGAAAGGGCAGAGGTGGAAAGTGCTGAACAATACCCCGGGGAGGTGGGTCGGAGGCTGGGAATAGAATGTCCTCTTAGTCAAAGCTGGAAACCAAAGGTTGAAGAGCCAGCTCTTGCTCCTTTCTCCCGCAGCGGTGGAATAAAGGTCTGGTTTTTTTTTTTTTTCCGAGACACGGTTTCTCTGTGGCTTTGGAGCCTGTCCCGGAACTAGCTCTGTAGACCAGGCTGACCTAGAACTCCCAGAGATCCGCCTGCCTCTGCCTCCCGAGTGCTGGGATTAAAGGCGTGTGCCACCACTACCCGGCTGGAATAAAGGTCTGAATGGATGAACTTTGCTTTGGTAATTGAAGGGAATGAGCAAATGTGAAACAAAGGTATAAATCAGTTAAGGTACTCAGTTAAGGGTGCTGGTACTCAGTTAAGGGTGTTGGTACTCAGTTAAGAGTGTTAGTATTTGGGCATCTGTGCTGGCCTAACCTTGGGATTTTGACAGGATGCATCAGAATCACTATCACCAAGTGACACTAAGGGACTAATTCTGTAGCCACTAAGAGCACTTCCGGTGCACATTCACTGCATCCCCTTTTAAAAGGGCCCTGCCCACCTCCCATATCTCTCTCTCTGTCTCCATCTGTCTGTCTGTCTGTCTGTCTCTCTCCCCTCCTTTTTTATTCTGCCACTCCTGTCCCCAGAGGCCAGTCTTGCCCTCCCCTCTTTTTACATAACTTCCCCCTAATAAAACCACCCTCACACTAACTCTGTCTCATGGTGTCTTTCTCTCACACGCCACTTTTTCTAAATTACAGCAGTAAGGAGAGGGCCAGGCATGGTGGTACATAACTTCAACCCTAGCTCTAGGGAGGGAGAAGCCAGTGGGTCTCTGTAGGTTAGAAGCCAACCTACATAGTAAGTTCCAGGACAGCCAGGGCTATAGAGAGGCTTTGTCTCAAACAAATTATGAAGCAACAATAGCAACAGAGAGGATACTGGGTATCTGAACTTCACAATCTTTCCTTTCCTAACCTAAAGAACAGGGAGTTTGGGCTAGTGGGACATCTCAGCGGGTAAGAGACACTTGGCTCATAAACCTGGCCATCTGTTCAATCCCGAGATAACATCAAGGTAGAGGGCAGGAACTGACACAGAGTTGCCCTCTGACCTCCATATGCAGACACTGGTGTGTGCATCCCACAATATAAATTTCTATAAGTTTCTAAAGAATAAGAGGGTCCTCCCAGCTTCTCTATTCCTGGCTTCATGAACAAATGACTTCACCCTAAAAGGCCCTAATGGTTCCTTTCATTCTTTCAGCACTATTTATTGAGCTAGGGGCTGATTTTTGAGGTAGAAAACGACAGTGTTGGTACATATCTTTGATCCCAGCACTTGGTAGGCAGAGGCAGGTGGCTCTCTGTGAGTTCGAGGCCAGCCTGGTCTACAGAGCTAGTTCTTTCCATTGCAGAATATGTCTCAGGTTAATAATACGTGTCTCCTTATTGTGTTCATGTTTTCACATATTATGACATGTTTCTGTGAAGAAATATTAATGCATTCAGTTACAAGATGCTACTAAAGATCCTAATTGGCCTATTATGAATGACTGTGCATCCTAAAAATTATTTGAACAGTCCCTTTCATAAGCTCTGGTTTGTATTGTAAATTATATGGTCAACCTTCATAATGTATATACCATGTTATCTTTCCGAAATCCACCCTACTGTTTTAACACACACACACACACACACACACACACACACACACACACTATGCCTCCCATACTTGGACTCACCAGAAGCTCCTTGCTCTCCCTCTCCTCGGTGGACCGGAACACTTCATACTCTTCCAGTTCTTTCTTCAAGGCCCTCAGCCTGGAGTCCAGCAGCTCCTGTGGTACGAAGGGAGATACTGTGAGAAGAGAATTCTGGAAACCCTCTCATGTGCCATCCTAGAGCCATCTGGGAGAAAGCCAAGGTTCTGCTCGTTCTCGGGGGCAGGAGACCTGATAGATATCATCTCTGGCTGTGGGGCGAAGAGAGCGTGTGCAAACTTAGCCTATCCGCGCAAAACAGACACAGAGGCACTCA